GTCGCAAGTCGGTTCTTAGCGGTCCGAGGGCCTGCTCTCGGGGTTTGGTGCCAGCTTTCAAGAGGAAAGACTGAGACTGGTCAACCGGCTGAACAGGGAGTCCTTTTTCGGGAACATCATTTTCTACTTGGGCCCCCCCGCAGCTACTTGGGCCCCCCGCAATGAGCCAATCAAATTAGCTTCTTCAACAAATCATTTCCGAAAGGCTTTGATCTACCAAAGCCCAGCCCTTACGACGGACCCATGACAGGGCATTTGCGGGATTCTTCTGATGTGGGTGTCTTTTCGGGTACCCCTAGGCTGGCTTTAAAAACCGAACCAACAGGAAAACCGATGCCAAAATCCTTTTGGGAGAGTCCAACAAAAAGAGACACTCCCATGTTACAAGCTGGCGCCTCATGGAACCAGTACATGTTTTCAAGCAGTCTAAGTACCCTCCCACCTCCCCCCCCAAAAAAACGTTCAATTAAAAAAACAATGAATAAACAAACAGCCTTTCTGCGGAGAAACGCACGCAAACAAACACTTGGTGCGGCAACCAGCAAGCCAAACAGCAAACAACTTGGGAAAAGCGCAGTGGGAAAAGACCCAAATTCCAAAAGCATCTGGAAAATGACTGTTTGTGAAAGGGCAACTACTTTCAACATACAAACAATAAGTCGTGAACTACTTGCCCGCTCTCTCTAACTACTGGGGATTAAGTAGGGGTTGTTGCTTTTGGGGCAAACACCCCCCCCCCCCCCCAATTTCTCCCAGTTGCCCATTGGGGATGGTTTCCGAGCCCACAAGACAAAACGGGATTTCGAGGGTGCAACCCAACATCTGGTGTTTTTGTTGTGTCTTTGTGGGTTCGGAGAGCCCAGTTAGCTGAGAACCATCCTAGGAGTGGGTAACCTATCCGCCTGGAGGTGCTGGAGCTGCTGCGGGAAGTGCTCGAGCTGCTGCTGGAGCTGGTGCTGGTGCTGCCTGGGCTGCAGGCAAGAGCAAAAGGCGCCGGGCGTCAATGGTTGGTTTCTGTTTGGTTTCCGTTTAGGTGCCAACTAGAAGCTGGACCGAAC